GCGAGACAGTAGCCGTACAGGAGGAATCGGAGTACGAAGCGGAAGTCGAGTTAAGCATGTCAGGTTGCGTTCATTCAAACAAAAGTTCAAAGGTACAATATACACTACAGGTTATCCCCCCCTTAGAAGGTTGGTGGGATAACAGCAAGCTTCGATATATAAAAGTAACAAGGTGGCGTACAATAACATTGAATGGACAAGAAAATGTGAAGGTAGTAATTAAATAGTTGTTTCTCTCTTTTTTTTAAAAATATATATTTTGAGAAAGGAAAGAATGAAGGAAAAAAATTAGTGCAATTTATGAGCACTATGTACATGATCAATGGAGTAAGATGGAATATAAGAAGGAATAACGCTGGTGCGTTGGCGCGATTTAAAAAAAATTTTTTTACATCGTTTATTTATACTTATCTTTTTTATTTTTACTTTATTTATTTATTTAGTTTTTTTACGACATACTATTACGGACTGGGTTATGTGGAGGTGTGATGGTTTACCTCCGTTACCCACGTTGTTATAACGGGAAGGTGGCTCATTATGTCTCAGTTTCCTCTTAGACTAATGCTCCATCCTTCTTCATCAACTAAAACTTGTAGTAACACCAAAGGCAATCACTATACCAGCGTATTAGGAGGAATAAAGTAAAAGCAACAGAAAAGAATAGAAGAAGAGGTTAAGATTTAAAAATCAGCATAGGGTGTTAACAAGAACTTAGGAGGAATAAATGCGAAGGAACTAGTGTAACATGGGAGTGGTACGCCAAATTGAAATAAAACAAGGGAAATTGCTAACACTGTGAAAACTTATGCAAGGTACAGAGAAGTGTGTGTACAACCAATAGCCATGAATAAGTACAATCAGCATTTGTTAAAAAAAATGTAGCGAGCTGTATAATTAAAGTGATGCAAAGTAATTACAAGTATGGGTCCATCATAAGGAGGTTGTAACGGTCTACGAACGGCGTCGCAACGCACAAAAACGTGTGTACAGTCATCGAGTCTAGCATCTACTTGCACTCTTTTGTTTTGTGTGCGTGTGGGAGTTGGTTGCAGGCGCTGCATAAGGCGCTTGAGGTTCTGAGCATAACAATGTACATCCGTAACAGTTGTCTCACCACTTTCAGGTGAGATAATTTCACCCGGTAGACGAAGGGTGGTACCAAACACCAACTCTGCGGAAGTGCACTGTAAGTCTGCTTTGAGCGTGGAACGGATACTAAGTAGCACTAGGGGAAGAGACTCAGTCCACTTAGTATTCTCAGTAGCCATTAACGAAGCTTTCAGTTGGCGGTGAAAACGTTCTACAAGTCCATTTGCTGCTGGATGGTACGCGGTTGTTCGGATGCGTTTGCACCCCAGCAGCTCTAAGAGCTTCTTGAAGTGGGTTGATTCAAACTGCTGTCCACGGTCTGTAGTCACCGAAGATGGGCATCCAAATTGAGCTACCCAGCGTTCCATGAACACTCGGCAAATGGTTTCCGCGGTCGTATCGGAGATGGGAATAGCTTCTAGCCAACGAGTGAACCGGTCGACACATGTCAACAAGTAACAGTGGCCATTCGATGGTGGTAGAGGACCCACTATATCTAGATGTACGTGGCTAAAGCGAGCATCGGGTGTGGAGAAGGAACCCACTGGAGTGATGTTGTGTTTGTGGACTTTAGCTCGTTGGCACGGCACACAGGCACGTGCCCAGATACGCACGTCGCGATTGATACCAGGCCAGACAAATCTAGCTGACACTAGTTTGTCCGTTGCCCGGATACCTGGGTGGGAAAGGTTGTGGAGGCTATCGAATACTGTACAGCGCAATGAAGGTGGAATGATGGGTCTCGGGGTACCGGTGGACAGATCGCAGAGGATGGTACCCTCGCTATTAACAAGCGGTATACGCTTGATATGTAAGGAGGTATTTGACGACAGCTTATTAAGATCTAACTCTGTAAGCTGACGTTGTGCCATTTGTTTCAAGTCAATGATTGGAGGCGCCGACATGGTACATATCCTAGACAAAGCGTCTGCCACAGCATTGTCAACCCCCGAAATATGTCTAATATCCGAAGTGAATTGAGAGATATAATCCAAGTGACGCAATTCGCGTGGGGAATATCTATCTGTAGTAGTGTGGAGGGCATACGTCAGTGGCTTGTGATCGGTAAATACTGTGAATTTCCGACCTTCGACAAAGTGGCGAAAATGTTTGATAGCCGCGTACATGGCGAGGAGTTCTCTGCCAAAGGTGCTATACCTCGCTTCAGCGGCGGACAACTTCCGGGAGAAAAAGGCAACTGGTATCCATGAAGTATGTACCCGTTGCTGTAGAACAGCTCCAATGGCTGTGTTAGATGCATCAACTGAGATGCTAAGCGGAAGATGGACGTCAAGGTGGACTAGCATGGTGGCGTCTGTAATTGCCGACTTAATATTCTGGAAGGCTTCTCGAGCCTCTGGTGTCATGCTGAACGTTTTGTTCCTACCCTTTAGTAGGTCTGTGAGTGGCAGTAAAATATGTGCACATTGAGGAACAAACCGTCGGTAATAGCTCACCATGCCGAGAAATGTGCGCAAAGATTTTATTGACGTAGGTTCCGGGAAGTCGCGTATTGCCTGCACCTTCTCAGGTAGCGGGCGAATTCCCTGTTCATTAATCACATGTCCCAGGAAGGTCAATGAATGGACGCCAATCTGACATTTGGACATGTTTAGTGTCAAACCATGGGCTGTTAGCCGCTCGAAAACCATCTGTAGATGCGTACGGTGGCTAGCTTCGTCTGGGCTAGCCACGAGAATATCGTCGAGGTAAGCATATGCGCAATCTAATCCGCGCAAAACATCGTGAATAAATCGCTGGAATGTTTGTGCGGCGTTGCGGAGACCAAACGGCATTCGAAGAAATTCGAAAAGACCAAAAGGGGTGATCACTGCCGTTTTAGGAATATCATCTGGGTGAACTGGGATCTGGTGATAGGCTCTGGTTAAGTCCAGTTTACTGAATACCGTGGCACTCTTTAGTGACGACGTAAGGTCATGAATATGTGGTACGGGGTAGCGATCAGGTACGGTTTGTGCGTTAAGCTTGCGGTAGTCACCACAAGGCCTCCAATCTATCCCATTATTCTTTGGTACCACATGTAAAGGGGAAGACCACGGGCTGCTGGAAGGACGGATTATCCCCATATCTAACATGTGTTCGAATTCAGCCTTCACGGCTTGTAGTTTTTCTGGGGACAATCGCCGTGGCTTAGCGAAAACCGGTGGACCAGTGGTCACGATATGATGAGTGACAGTAGACGTCACACAAGGAAGTGTAGAAACCGGTTTGAACAGATTGGCAAAGGACTGAAGAACTACAGCGTAAGGGCCATTAGAGGCAGGGGTTGAGTATACTGGGCTTAATGCAGGTGTGTGTGTCACAACACCGGAGATCGAAAGGCTTGTAGCTGAATCAATCAGTTTGTGTTTGCCAGTATCGACCAGTAGCTGATAGTGTTGCATGAGATCCATGCCAATAATACCGGTAGTTACATCCGCCACAAGGAAAACCCAGCGAAATGACCTACGTAGGCCTATGTTAAGATCCAGAAACCTTTTGCCGTACGTTGTGATTGGCGAACCGTTTGCGGCGCGAAGCTGTAAGGAAAGTGGCCGCTTGCGCTCTTCAGATGTTGGTGGGATCACGCTAACTTCCTTCCAGTGTCAACTAGGAAGCGTGTCCCAGTGGTACGGTCGGTAACATAGAAGAGGCGACATGGAAGTGGTTCGCCAGCGACGTTAGTCGCCAATACGTGCTGGCTTACTGGTTTCCCGATTGCTGGCCATCAAAGGTGCACGAGCGAGTGCACTTTTGGGCCTTATCACCATAACGCCGGTGATACCAGCACACTCCAGGCTGGGAATTTTGAGGCCTACGACGTCTGCTGCCAGCTCGTGATGAAGATCTGCCACGAGTCGGGCTGGTGCGGCTATGTGAACGACCTCTAGATGTCCTCTCCTGTTTTAACTTATCTATCTCTTCATAAAGCTTAGCTATGTAGGCCACCACATCTAATTTTGATGACCCTTCGGTAGAGGAGTCCTTCGTCTGAGTTACGGTTACAGCCATCCCGCGAACAAGACGATATATAAATAGAATGATAACAACAAATATGATAACAAAAAATATGAGCAAAAACAATGCAAATAAAATTTATAACTCTGTGTGAAAAACAAATTACCAATATGAAAAAGGACTATTTACACTTTAGGCTACTAAGTAGGCAAACGGTGAAAACTCGGGCTCACCACTTGTAAGAGTTAGACTTAGGATTTAACTTCTACCTAACAATAACCGCTCTTACAAACTCCTTCACCGTTTATGACCTTAATTAGTACTCTGCCTACGTGCAAGTACTAAAGAACGGAATCAAAGTTAGAAGACTCGAAATGGCAAGTGTAACTGGACCGGAATTGTATTTACACAAAGAGATATGGAATTTGATAAGAAATAAAAAGTACACACTTATCTGGAGGTGAGACGGTTGTCAGCTCGTAGGGTGTACTAGGTGAAAGTACAGCGAGAGAGCGAGACAGTAGCCGTACAGGAGGAATCGGAGTACGAAGCGGAAGTCGAGTTAAGCATGTCAGGTTGCGTTCATTCAAACAAAAGTTCAAAGGTACAATATACACTTCACTCCTGTCCTACCTGTTGAATTCCTAAGTTTCTTTCAACGTGTGACTATGGACTGAGCTAAATGGATATATAGAATATGAAATCTCGTAGAATTAAGGTGTTTCCGTTTCCCTGATCAACAGGTTGGTGAAACGACATTTTAAAGTCAAAGTTGTTTCATGACTTGGGTACCATATTTTTATTAGGCTCACCAGAGCTATATAACTACATTGGAAGTCAAAAAATTTGGAGCTGTTTCGAAATACGAAGGTGGAAATGCCGAGAAGTCAAGAGGTGTCTGCAATTTCGCTAAGACCAAATTGGACACTACGATGACCTTAAGGCGCTCTGTCGGAATACCTCGCTACGCTGATAGAGTTGGTACATGCACTTTTTGTTTTGACTTCTTAAGTTTGTGGGAATTAGCTCGGAACTTTTTATCATCGGAAACAAGTAGTGTTTTTCATCTCATGTTTATTTTTCTGAATGCTGACTCATCACGGATAAAATTAACCATAGCATTGTAAAATATAATGCCAAATAGTTCAAATACTCGTAGTTACATGGAACATTATTGTTCATGACTGTGTAGTGTAGTCCAAAAACATTAGTTTTTCAATTGCACCTGATGTTTTCTGACTGATTGTCATTCACTTTGAGAGAAAACTTGCCCATTTTATGCAATGAAAACCTATAGGTATTGAACCAGCAGCCTCAGAATTAGAAACTCGGTACTGGTCAGATGGGACTATAACTTTCAGAAACAATGTTTCGCTCATGTTTTAAGCGCTTTGCTGTTGTGTAACTACTCGTTTCACTTTACCACATAAGCTACTCAGTCATGACTGAGTAATTTGCAAATTTTTACGCAGTTTCAATCGTAGTGAATTAGAAGTGAGTGAATAATAGCTTAACCATGGCAAAAGCTTCGAATAAAGTTTAAAGATACTAGGCAGGTTACCGAGCATGATTTAGGTTAGGGTTAGGATAGAGACAGGTTCGGTGTAGTTTATATATGTGTAAAACTTGGGCACTGTGGTAGTAAGTAATTCCATATTAGTTTGTTTATTAGGTGTATCACACAGTGAAACAGTATTATTTACTGGATGACAAAGTTTCGAACAAAATTTATTGTTCATAATCATATCAATTGTGTAGTTTAGTCCAATTAGGGAGATATTAAGGTTGGTTAGAGGCATACTAGAGTCAGATTTGGGTTAATTCAGGGTTAAAGTTATGTTAGAGATGTGTTAAAGTCTAGTTAAGGAACGAATAAGCTTTAGTTTGAGGTGAGCATCCAACTTTGCTTTTCAGTGCAATGACACGTTTCAAAGTCATTGGTGCTTTCTCCCCCTTTGGATCGCTAATCTTTAACCCCACCATACACAATCTAAAAGCTTTTTTATTTTATGCTAACCTTAATATCGAACCAGAAAAAGAAGAAGTGAACTTGCAGGAAACTATATTGTTATCATCGAGGTATCTATTTTGATGTCTTTGGTTTCCGATTTTTGATTTCCAGGGTCTAAACAATTGAGTAATATTTGATCCATACACACTCATCTGTTTGTCTTTTATCAGAAAACAGCAGTTTCATGTAAACTTTCGCTAAATGAATTACTTCTAAGCACTTTAAGGTAGTTCTAAAGTAGTGTCTGCAAATTTGAATGACAATCTTTATGGCTAAATACATTTAGTGAGGTTGAAGTATTGTGTGCATGCTTTGATTATGCGATTAATGAGTCCAATGAACCATAGAACATCTTCAGTCGTAGCTCTAGCTGGTAACGGGGTTATTATCTATTCTCAACAAGCAGTGTTGACTGAAGTAGGACTAAGATAGAGAAGAGTGGTGTATACCTTGGCATAAATCCATGGTGTCAGTGACTGTTATTCTGAGCCGTTGGATGAATTACTTAGCAATATGGTGAAAACCGTTCATAGTTTCATAGATGTATTCGCTTTTTATCATCCAGAACACTGTGAATATCTGCATTGTTCCTCACCAAGTTATTTTTTGATATGTTTTGTAGCCCTTTATAAAGTGTGGAAACGGAAAGTTTTTCTATGTTGATTTGTAAGTCAGATGTAAAACATCGTGGGTCGTTAACCGATACGAAACTGACTGATTGCCTAAGTTTTGACGTGGAACTTTGCATAAAAGTGCAGCACTTCAAGTTGCGATATTCTATGTTGCTCAAAAATGGTAGAGATTCAAAATAACCATAATGAGCAGAATCTGTGTGTGTGTGAGAGTCGTAACAGTAATAAGCATGAGTTAATTGGTGGCTGGTGACAAGCAGTGGAATTCAGTGATGTTCCTATCGCGGCTCGAGTGGCTCAAGTAGTCTAATGGATAACGCTTTGGCGTTTGAAACTATTGGCACTGGGTTCGAGCGTCGATGGGAACATCACTGGATTCCACTGCTAGTCACCATCCACCAATTAACTTCTAAAAACTTGCCCAGACATCGTCGAAGCATCTGCACAAAAAGCCGACGGACATGTTAACCTGAAACCGAACACTTCGGTCTAATCAGTCGACGGGAAAATCTAAAATTGAATTAAAAAAGCATGAGGTTTTAATAGATCTGGGAGATTACACACAGTGAATGTGTCTGCGCCATTGAGAAGATAGTCTCCACCCGTTGATTATTTGTATCCTGAGGACACCAACCGCGTCGGTCGGTCGGTTTTCGACGCAGAACTTTGCACATATGTGCGGCAGTTCAAGTCGCCACACTCCATGTGGCACACAAAGCAAGAGAAGAAAGTAGGAGAAATGCATAATATAGTCAGTAAACAGAGGTGTGAGACAAAGGAATAGTAATAACGAAGAACAAAACAGTTTCATTGGAAATCATAAGTCACAAGGAGTGGATGCATCTGCACCACTAAGAACGATTTTGAGCTAGCCATGTCACCAATTGTTTCTAACCATTGGTTTCTACCGTCCCGAGGACCCCAACCAGTCAGGAAGTCTGCACCTTCCTACGTGGCTTAGACTAACTGTTGTGGATTTCATTGACTGGTGCCATGTTTTCGTTTGACCGCCGCTAGCTCTTTTCCAGCCTGGCCCTATATCAGCTAACATTGCCCGTCGAGGAAGGCGATGACTAGCCAGGCATCCGTAACACATGTCCTAACCATCTCAGTCGATGTAATTTAACAGTCTCGTCGACTGATTTCCCCAACTGCGTAGTTTACATCTCCCTACATGACTCAAACTAGACGGCAAAAACTTCATGTCGATGCGAAAAATAAAATAAAGTGTTATCGGCTAGATAGGCAATAGAATAAAACGGTAAATGTCGAACCTTAGACATTTCTAGCTCTTATTCCACATATATTTCAATGTAATTCGTGATTTTACCTAAACATCTGACTTTTCTTTTGTATTATTTTAATTTCCAGATCATAACGAGTTGATAGTAAAGCTACACAATATTATCGTGGAACAAATACTATTAAGCAAATTGAAACGAACTTGTTAAAAGTCTTATAAATATATCTATTATTGCTTTTAATGGTATCACTGTGTTTCTCAAAATCCTCAGTTCACTTTTCAAGACGAACATTCTTTACATCAAGGATCAGTTGTTCACCGCGTAATCTCTTCTCAGATGATAGTTATAGACTTCGTACATTCCTTAATTATACTGTATCGTTTGGTATATTCATGATTGGTTTTGGATATGGTACTGTGCCGTTATATCGCTTGTATTGCACAGTAAGTTGGAAAGTTTATTTTATTATATTAGTTTTGTTTTGGATATTTCTAGAGAAAATAATTATTATAACTATGGTTTAAGAATTCAACTTCAAATTGTTAGATCTTTGGTTCAAATTATACTCCATTTATTTCTGTCCTGGGGTGGGGGAGGGAGGTGTTAGTGTCTGGGTAGTATTATCGACCACTACACTTGGGGTTTGGTTCATAGTTTGTTACATGTATTATCGTTGATAATAATACTAATGCCATTATTGAAACAAACTTGGTCCATTATGGGCACCAAGTCATGTGCGGGAGTCAGGATACTGCCTGGACGCACAGACTAAAGTAGGTGATTGTCTTAAGGGGCCAGTCCTTACGAGCCTTCGACTTGAAGTGTAATCCACATGACAGTGGAGCAGCGTCAGGTGCTGTGTTTCTATGGTTGACGGTGACTGAAACAGATCCATACTCCATTCAATCCTTTTGGATTCTGGAGCTGTTGTAAACCATAGACTTGGAATCAGGATTTTTCAGCTCCTCCCCTTATGTAGATCAGCATGTCCAACAGTCCGGTTGTCAGTACCAGACGTCCTCATTCGTCGTTTCGCTTCTGTGAGGAGTATCCTCGCTGAATGAAGGCGGTGAATAAGACTTACCTGGTGGAGGCTATGAATGCGTGGCCACTGAGAAAAGTAAAGGGAAGACAGGAGCCTACCCGCTACGTCATGTTCGCCGCGTGGTGTTAGATTATCTGAGATAACCTTGGAAGGTTGGTTATCGATCCCAATCGTGGGTACCAATTGAAGATGAAGTAAGAATCTGGTTCACAATAGATTTCGGACCATTGACCTCCAGATTACTAGTCCAGCAGTCTATCAATTGAACTGTGAGACGCAACATTTCACTATAATCAGCATGAGTTGTGCCTAGCTGTCATGTTTTTATGTTTCGTTTTGTTTTTGTCTCCAATTATAACAGAAAACAGGTAGCGGGACGAATGCAAATTTTGCTAAGGCTAAAACTGAAAAGATCAGAAGTATGAAACCAGTAAAAGACTATGAACTAGTTGTATATTTTGCTGCTGATACATATTCAAAAATGTCATGGAAATTTAAACCATTACAAAAAGAGGTCAGTTCACCTTATTATTATTATTGTTATTATTATTTTCTTTTCATTCCTTTATGTTCTGAGGGGAATATATGACTTTAAGTTTTTACGAGTTGATCACGGATTGATATCAGTTAGACAACCATTGAAAACCAGGGAGTACTGGACAGCTGCTGTTTCATCTTAGTTTGGGAATCATCGGCAGTACGCACCCACTGAGATTCGTGACTTGCTACAGGATTGAGTTTCCTGGAGTTCTAGTGAAGTCATGACCAGTGAGGTCCAATTAGATGTCACGTGTGTGGATGGATGTCCCACCAACAACAATGGTTGGGGTCGCGCTAAATCACGAATTGGTAGAAGTTAAAATTCATGGGTTGACCATTGAATCGGGTCCCAGTGGCTGAATGGTATACGAGCTAGCTTGACTTGTAACCGGAAGGTCCTGGGTTCGAATCCCAGTGGGTGCATACTGCCAATGATTCCCAAACTAGGACGAAACAGCAGCTGTCCAGTACTCCTTAGTGGGTTTTCAATGGTTGTCTAACTGATATCAATCCGTGATCAACTCGTAAAAACATGACTAACCCTTACAAATCAAACTGTAGGAAACATGGCTTGAGGCTTTGGAGTTTCAGTAGCGGTTGTGTTGGCTTTATGTTTACGAGGTTGGATTGTTAGGCTCAGGCTAAGCCTTCCCTCTCCTCTTGAGGGTTGCTATCGGCTGGTAAACTAAGCAAACTGTAAGAGTGTATCGGCTGGGAATCGAGTTCTGAATCACGTGGGTGTTTGGCGAATATTCTACCATTGAACCATCAAAGCATAAAAGGGCGCAAGCAATGAGTATATCTGCACCATTTCGTCAGCTTTTAAGCCATTCCACCAACAATCTTCAAGTGTACCGCGAATCCAAGCGATGCCAGTCTAAATCTCCCTTACACAGCTCAAACCAACAGTCAAAGACTTCTTCAATTCATGTCATGTATTCGTGTGACCACTGGTGACTGTTTTCCAATCCAATTCTGACTTCAGTTAACACCCAGTCACACACGAATTCTAATTCAGTGGCATTCTGTTCCAATGCTCGCCTTATGATGTGAAAGTTGTGGGTTCCCAGCCTCAGTGAGTTATTGGTGTCTGCCGCTGACGAGAATTAAGCCAGAACGAAACAGCTGTCTGGTAGTACTGTCTGGTTTTCAATACTTTTTCATTTGTGTGTCGTTAGTTCAGTGGTAGAATACTTGCCAGCCATGCAAAAGGTCCGAATTCAATTTCCAGCTGGTGCACTCCTAAACCTCTATTAGCTGATAGTAAGCCTGGAGAAGAAAGAAGGGAATGATAGTGATCAGGAAAGCTTTGTATGCTTATTCTAGTGTTTGGTTGGTTATCATTTCCCGTAAAGTGGAAATTGTTTTCTTCTTAACATCAGTGTTGCATGACGGGTAGGACCCAGGGGACAACTGCTTGAGACCGGTCACACACGATCCGTTTGAGTTGGTTTTTGGAGTTGTATTTGTCTTAAGATCTTACTGCCGGTTACGGACCGTTAGGATGTAAAATCTTTGCGGTCGACCTTCTCCAACTCCTCCCTCTTCAGAGTCGAGAGGTAGCATAACCGGCATGTTGGTCATCTGAGGGAAACTGCTGTTACATTTCTGTTCATCAACAATACGATTTCGTCCACATACCTCAAAATGGAGCATGCGATCAACACTATGATGGTAACTGCCTTTATTCTAAACTTTATTTAAAGGACCGTTCTGGAAATGGAACATTAATTCGATCAAGTCTAGCTTGTTCGGGGGTCGCGGTACGGAGGCCTGACCACCACATCAAGATAGCAGCTATCGATCGAGGGAAAAGAGTAGAGGTTGGACGTGAGACTAACAACCGCACTCCGTAAAAACGACGATACTGAAACTTCAAAACGTGGATCCCTATATTTCATTCAGGACTGAAAGAAATGGAAAAAAACACCCGAAAAATGATTTCAAACACACATACACACATGCATACTCCGTTAATCAAGGAGAATAATATTTAACTTTGTATGTGTTTAATTTTAAAATGAGTGACCGAGAACACCAAAAACGATCAGTACTTCGAAGAAAAGAAAATGCTTAGGACTAATTATCCTGTATACTTTGTTTATAAAGATCTAATTTCGCCGATTGAATGCGACAGACTTTAGCGGACTCAGACAGTTTCTTATCATCATGACTAAAGCTTTTACTGTCATCGACATTATGCCATCATGAGTATCTGTGGAGCTGCAGCTTGTTAGTTTTGACGCTGGACTTCTGGGCTCGACTTTGTTATAGTGTTCATACCTTACGCTTTATTTGACGAGGTTTAGGCAGTCTGAACAAACTTCTTCTGTATGCAGAGCTTAGGATTTAACGCACGGATTGCCATAGCTTCTGTAACTTGACTTTACTTCGTAAGGCTTTGGTTAGATTCTCGTGTACTCTGTAAACAACTCTGAACTTGATTTGCGAGCTCGCTAGGTGTTCCAAAATAGAGCTGCAGAGGGGTCACACGGATACAGAAGGCTTGTTTAGCATTTGCCAACAAACTCCATCTCTGGCGTAGACATGATATTCAACTGGCTATCGACCAAAGGGCGTGTGTACTGCTCAGCAGTCCATTTTGTCCTCCTTTATGGCTGCGAGTGAGGCATGGCCAACAAAAGTGGAAGACATGAAAAGTCTGGCTAGCTAGCTGTCTTTGATCATAGGTGTCTGCGTTTTATCTCCCGTATACGTTAGGTGGTATAATAAAGTGAGCAATAATAAGATTAGACTTCAGTCGAGTGCTAGGTAAGGAGGGGAAATCAATCGACGAGGCTGTGAAGTTACATCGATTGAGATGGTCAGAACATGTGTTACGCATAATTATCCTAGTCATCTCCTTCCCCGATAGGCGATGTTAGCTGACTGACATAGGATTGACCAGGATGTAAAGAAAGCCAGTGGTGGTCAGACGAAAACATGGCTCCATCAGTCAATGAAATCCATAACAGTTAGTTTAAGCCAGGTAGCCACGTAGGGAGGTGTAGACTTCCTAACTGGCTGGTTGAGGTCCTTGAGATGATAAGAACCAAACCAATGATGGCTGGAGACAATTGATAATATGGCTAAAAATCCTCATTGTCAATGGCTGGTGCAGATGCATTCACTCTTTGTTTTTTGTCATATCCAGTGAAGCTCTACAGTTCTTCCATATTACTATTCTTTTTGCCTCATATCTCCGTTTACTGTCTCTATTTTTCATTTCTTTTTACTTTCTTCTCTTGCTTTGTGTGGTACATGGAGGGAGCGTGGCAACTCGAACTGCTGCACTTGTGTGTAGAGTTCTACGTTGAAACCAGTCAGTCAGTCATTCCTATTTAGGACTCGTCAACTGTGAATGTACTTGCCAGTCTCCAGTTAGTAATGATGTTCCCACCAAGACTCGAAGTCAGCACTCCTCGTTCCAAATACAGATCAGAGCGTTATACACTTGCCTTAGTGGGAACACACTCATCACTCACTAAGGATTACAGATGACGAATCCCGAATACGGACGAAATGCGCTTTGTCTTCTGGTTCCCTCTGCTAATCATTATCAGTCGAAATAACTTAACATTCTCTTTATTATTGGATATAATAATTGTGTTGTAATCATCATGTTTGTTTTTGTTTTTCACAATTATATTCTTCTAGTTAACTGTTGTCCCTGGTGAAACAGCCTTGGCATTTTATTCCGCTGAAAATCCAACAGATAAACCGATTGTAGGAATTGCTACTTATTCTATTGTCCCATTTGAAGCATCAAAATATTTTAATAAAATACAAGTAAGAATATATATTTGATTATTTGTTTGTCTATTTGTATGTTCGTTCTAGTTTTTACATTTTAGTTATCATAGTTATGTTACACTTTTCTGTGTGTGTGCGTAAAAACTTGTGTTACTAGATGAAATTAGGTTTAAGTAAGCGGAATCACTGGTGCGTCACTGGTTCCATGGTAGGTAGAACTATTAATCAACCCCTCACATGGTCCGGCTTGATTCCAGACTGACTGACTCCTTTCAACTCGCGCCTACTTTACCAGTCCCGTACTAAATCTCAAAAAGACAAAAGGTTGGGCATAAGACTAATAAATCTCACCTGCTGCTGAGAATTCAAAAGAGCTCGCCTTATAACCAGAAAGTCCTGGGGTTTGAACCCTGGCAGTGAGGTGGGTGCGTATTGATGAAGAGTCTCAAACTAGGACGAAACATATGTCCGGTGCTCCCTGATGGGCTTTCCAATGGCTCTCTAAACGATGTCAGGTGATGATGAAATCTTCCAACCAATCAAACAAAATCCCTACAAATGCAATACTTGAAAATTCGAAAGAGCCTAAAGCCTTATGTTCTATTTGGAATGCCTAGGAGACGTCAATTATTCGAACTCTCATAAGTCACATCAATTCACACTAAGATAAATCCAAAAGATTTAGTGAAGATTTTCTTGACGATTTTCATTTTCCCTATTATTCATGAATGTATTGATCAGTTTTTGAGAACACACTATCCTGTGTGATTATATGAAATGAAAGAAGGGAAGTGCAGTAATTATAAATTCCTTTTTACGAGTTTGACCACGGATTGATATCAGTTAGAGAACCATTGAAAACCAGGGAGTACTGGACAGCCAACTGTTTCATCCTTCCTCTTTGGGAATCACCGGCAGTACGCACCCACTGCCAGGGTTTGAACCCAGCACCTTCCGGTTACAAGGTGAGCTAGCTGGCTCGTATACCATTCAGCCACTGGGACCAGATTCAATGGCGCATGATGCTTGCTAGTGACTTGCTTCAGGACGGAGTTTCCTGGAGTGAGTTCTAGTGAGAAGTCGTGATCAGTGAGGTCCAACCAGTCAAGAGTGAGGATGGATTTCCCACCGATGAAATTACCTGGTGGTCGCACTAAATGCATCACGAATTGGTTGAAGTTAGAATTTATTGTCTGCCCATTGAATCGGGTTGGGTCCCAGTGGGTGAATGGTATACGAGCCAGCTTGCTTTGTAACCGGAAGGTCGCGGGTTCGAACTGTGGCAGGTAGGGTAGCGTCACCCTACCGCCACAGTTCGAACCCGCGACCTTCCGGTTACAAAGCAAGCTGGCTCGTATACCATTCACCCACTGGGACCCAACCCGATTCAATGGGGCAGGACAATAAATTCTAACTTCAACCAATTCGTGATGCATTTAGTGCGACCACCAGGTTAATTTCATCGGTGGGAAATCCATCCTCACTCTTGACTGGTTGGACCTCACTGATCACGACTTCTCACTAGAACTCACTCCAGGAAACTCCGTCCTGAAGCAAGTCACTAGCAAGCATCATGCGCCATTGAATCTGGTCCCAGTGGCTGAAATGGTTATACGAGCCAGCTAGCTCACCTTGTAACCGGAAGGTGCTGGGTTCAAAACCCTGGGCAGTACGCACCCACTGCCAGGGTTTGAACCCAGCACCTTCCGGTTACAAGGTGAGCTAGCTGGCTCGTATACCATTCAGCCACTGGACCAGATTCAATGGCGCATGATGCTTGCTAGTGGCTTGCTTCAGGACGGAGTTTCCTGGAGTGAGTTCTAGTGAGAAGTCGTGACCAGTGAGGTCCAACCAGTCAAGAATGAGGATGGATTTCCACCGATGAAATTACCTGGTGGTCGCACTAAATGCATCACGAATTGGTTGAAGTTAGAATTTATTGTCTGCCCATTGAATCGGGTTGGGTCCCAGTGGGTGAATGGTATACGAGCCAGCTTGCTTTGTAACCGGAAGGTCGCGGGTTCGAACTGTGGCGGTGGGTGCGTACCTACTGCCGATGATTCCCAAATAGGGAGGATGAAACAGATGTCTGTGCAGTACTCCCTGGTGGGTTTTCAATGGTTCTCTAACTGGTATCCATCAGTGGTCAAACTCGTAAAAACAAATCTAATCCTTATAAACCAACTCTTATAAATTCTTTGTTACTACCAGTTATTTTATCTCAAAAATAACCTCTAACTCTACACATTCATTCAAAGAATTAGTAATTATAGGCTTATTGGATTTCTTCCCAGCAGTTGAATAGTTAACGGGCTTGCCTCGTGACCTCAAGGGGTGTTGGGCTCTTCAACCCCCGGTAAGGGGGGGGCGATATAACGGCAGGAGATAAGAGACTTGGTAAAGGAATATTTATTAGGGAATTTGGTATCTCTATATATAGTCAAATTTATGTACACCTTATTTTCAACGCACGCAACCAA